GTGTACGTGTGTGTGTGTGTATGCGTGTTTTTATGAATGAAGTGAGTCACTGTCGATGTGTCATAGGCCCGACGTCTTTATAAAGGAAGTTTTAAACAAGCCTAAACACTTCACTGCGCGCAAAAATTGGACTTACCACACTCGCATCCCTCTCTCTGCATTTCTGTTGCCTCTCTCTCCAAACTGTCTCTCTGCCTTCAACACTCCATAAAGACTACAAGAGCTCATCTCAAACTTTGCTAAAGACAGAAAGTTAGACGATACTGGCTTTTACCTCTCTTTTCCTGACTTTCTCTGAGTGCTGCAGTCATCTCCCTGCTCTTACATTCATTCTGTCCTGACAACTTTCCTGCTCACTCTGACTGAAGCGTGCGAAGAAGAAACCGGAGCACGTGACAATTTCCGGAGTTCAATTTATTTAGTTTTTTATTTATTTATTTATCTGCGTTTTTCTGCTGATTTACATATCCCTTGGACCCGAACCAATATGAAATGTAAGTGACTGTATGAGTGTGTTAGTTTATAGGTTAATTGCTCACTGTGTTAATTATCTCCTCTTTATCCTATGTTATTTCTAAAAGCTAATTGAATTGTGTGTATGTGATGTTTACGTCACTTATGTGACTTTTAACAGCTATTTTTATCGTCCCTATATATCAAATAATTGATTTACAGTTCACTTTCTAAACAAGTCAATTACATTTTGAGTCACTGACAACTTGCGGCATGGACAACTTATTCCCTAAACTGTTGAAGTTGGGCGCTCACATGCTCCAGCAGTGTTATTTTGGCTGCGATTCTTGTGGTTCCCCGGTAATTATCAAGGAATCATCATTTCAACACCACCGTGGTTCCGTTTTAATACTTAGTCTGCCTCGTATTTGAACTTGAAAGGAAAAGAATGAATGAGCTTACTGTTAGAGAGTTGGCTTGGTCTATATCATTTATATCAGCAGCTCACGTACCTATCCAGTTGCAGGTGTGACAATCAGCAGCATTCATTGCATTGCTATAGGATAAAGAGGTGATGGTTGATAGTCAGTGTCAAAGCGACCTTTAATGGTTTAATGATTTGGATTCAGCTTGTGAAAACATGACTCGTCATGACACCGAGGCTCTTCAGGATCCCTCTCCCAAGTCTAGCGCTATTGTTTATATTATGGTGCAACATCATCCCCTAGACCTGGCAGCCGTGGCCTGAGGTCATTATAATTATGGCGAGATGACAGCACCCCTCCACTAATTGCTTCCGTTTTGTTCTACCCCCTCCAGTGCTGCTCGACTCCTCCTCATCGCTCCTCTTTTCGCTGCTCTTGGCTCAGCTGCCTGTGCTCACATCTGCTTCTCCAGTACCACAGCGGCGGCCCAGTGACTTGGATAAACTGTCCAATCAGACCAAAAATCTGATGAAGCTCACCCAGGAGCTGCTGGTAAGTGACACTGTCGTCAGTAATGACCCTTCTCACTACTGATTGGAGGAGAGACTAATGAAATCCCGACAATCCTGTGCTAATTGAATTTTTAGCATTAGGGTGGAAGTGGATGCTGCTCACTGACCCTTCCCTAATTGGATTTTGATGCTAATGGTACATTTCACTTTAGACAATCTCACACTTCAGATTTCTCTAACTTTGCACCATGTATGGTTGTGGAAACCATGTTTCGCTGTTTGCGCAGAACATCTGTCTGTCTTAAGCTGCTTTCACCGATGACAGACTGAATGCAGTCCATCGGGGCAGCAAAAGCCTCAGGGGAGATTTGACTCACATTTAATCCACTCTGGACTCCAGAGGTCTGCCTGGTCACCTGACTGGTGGCAGTAACAAGAAGACTGGAGGATAGGTTAATGTCTGCATCCAGTCCAGTGCACATGTGATTAAATGAATATCAGTTCTTATGGAACCAAGGAGAGTAACCCCATTTACACTGATAGTCCATCAATAGACATGATGTGGTGAAAGGAACAGAGAATCAAAAGATAAAGTTTTAGAAACCATTTTACTATGTCCCGACAAAACCAATTTACAACTACATATTAACGCTGTACCTACACCAGAATCAGAATCAGAATCCAACTGTCCAAGCCTGTCTGTGAAATCACAGCAAAGTACATCCCATGCCTGTTTACATAGAAACATGTTTATATTTTGCAGCTAGACTGAAGACGTGTGGATGGAGTTGGAGAAGTTTTTTTTTCTCAAATTAGATGCTAATCTCTAACACATATCCTACTCACAGTTCTTCCCTGAAATGTCATTTTGTTGACAGTCAAGTTGGTAGGAAAATCAGAATTTGAGAACTTGGCCAAGTTCCAGCTGATTGTGTATTGTGCATTGTGTTTTAACAGGTGAAAAGAAAGCATGATCATATCGCTGGATCTCCAGTTACACATGAGTGAACTAGATTCTGTTTTTGCATTATGCAAATCCTAATACTCTTTTGTTCCGGGGATAAAATAAGAACCAGCTATGTGCTTTCTGTAGTCATGGTAAATAGACACTGTTCAGAATGTGTGATTGCTCTGCATGAGTATGTGTGTTTGATGCTTAAAAACAATGTCACAGGCCACTGTGGTGTGGTAGAGTCCAGAAGATCCAGCATTGTCGAAGGGGGTTGGGGTCAGTATTAGACATTTCAGTAACATAGAAGATTTGTTTTTATTTTTTCCTTATTGTGTGGAATTCCAATAAAGAGAGGACAAAGTTAGGAAAGATAAATAGAATGAGAAACCATGGAAAGTCCCTGCAAAAAAAAGCAATGAAACTGATGCTCTACGCATAGGCCTATATAAGTTTTCCGATGTAACCATACGTGCGTGTGAGTGAGACTGTGTTTGCATGCACACAGCATGGGTGCAAAAATGTGTATATATACAGCCTATATATGTACGCATTTGTGTGCATGCATTTTTGTGGCTCTCTGTGTGTGTATGTGTGTATGCATTGAAGGTTTTGTAAATAGTCTTGGTTGTGTAGGTGCAGTGTTTGGTGTTTTGCTTTCGGTCACCACAGCAAAGTGACCTGATAAAAATCAAAAAGATTTATCACATTCCAGTATTTGCATTCAGGAAGAAAAAGGCTAGATGCTAAGTTCTGTCGGGTGAGGTCACGATGGAGAGAGCAGGAAAAAGAAGGATAAGAGGTAGAATTATAGCCTGAGAAAGATGGGGCAAAACCACAAGAGATGGAGAGATCAGAGAGCCAACTAGATGACAAGCCAGTGGTGTATGTGTGATGTTGCATGTGCTTGTGCACCTGGTATGAGACAGAGAGAGAGAGAGAGAGAGAGAGGAGGGGAGAAAGGAGCGAAGCAAGGGATGGAGGAAGACAAAAGCAACAGAGATAAAACACTGGACCACAAACATAAGTGAGCTCTTATGGATGGCTGATGGAGAGACATGAGAAAGAATGTAACACATTCATCACCAAACACATCAACACAAACAACTGGAAGAAAACACCAGGACAAGAAAAACAGCATAACAGATTAAGGAAGCATTAAGCATACACAACCTGTTTACGCAAAGCATTTCTCAGCACTCATCATCCTAATGTTGTTATGTTCCTCTGCTGATTGGAAATGACGCATGTCACATCACTCATATCCATTTATGTCCATTCATTACTGAATCAGGATGTTTTAATACTAAATTGTACTACCTATGAGCACAGCTGCCTTTAGAATTCCATAAACCTCCAGTCTGGCTGGTTATCCCCCTCTGCTGTCCATGAAGAGTCCTACATCTGATGCCTGATCAGAGTTTACAACACAACCCAGACTGGGCAACAGCACTGCGTCATTCCGTCTTTTTATAGCTGTGACCCTGGAGTTTCCCCACAGCCCTGTGTTGTCTATCCCATTGGAGCTTTCTTAGTCACTGCATATGTTGTTATCCTCACTCCCTGTAGAAAACATCCTGTGGGTTCAGGTCATTTTCTCTTATTGTTGACATTTGGGGAGGCTGAATGTGGGTGAACTCACATTGACCTGATCAACCGCACTCTCCTCAGTGAGAGCTACTGTGTCTAAGCACAGAAAACAGACCAACTGAGATGCTAGGATGAAACTTTCCTCATGCTGTCGTGACTTCTCTCAAGATGAGTAAAATTGTGCTGATGCAAATTACTAACAGGCTGCTCTGTCTTGTTTTCTCTTTCAGAGGGAGCATGCATTTGACTCAGATGTGGAGCCCCACAGGTTCAGGTCTCTGCCAGAAATGAGCAACAGATCAGCCAATGATCTCAACAATCTTGAAGTAATGCTCTGATAATGTATTTGTGTATGTATGTACTTGTGAAGAGAGAGGGGCTGGTCTGTTTCTGTTCACAGTTGCATCTTGCCACACCCATGCATGTCTGTAAAGTATGTCTGTTGTTTTCAGCTGAAGCCCACACTCTCTCAGCTGCATGCTGACCTGAAGCTGTATGAGCACCACTTTGAGTGGCTGAACAAGGTTTCAAAAAAGCACCACCACCCGGCAGTGCCTAAACTGGTGGAGGTGATCAGAGAAATGAAATCTCTCATCAACCTGCTGCACCGTCAGGTAAAGTTTCACCTTGTTGATTCTCAGTTGTTATGAAGGCTTAATCTTAAATTTCTCGATGTGAGATTTAGTACTAAATGATATGTTCTACAGCTGTTTGCTATCACTTAATGTGACAATGAATTATTTCTTATTTTTCTAATCTGTTTGTCTGCCTGTCTTCTCGTCCACAGATGCTAAAGGTTGAGGCACCAAGGCTGACTCCGGCAACCCCCTCCCTCCCTCCTCACCTTCCCTATCAGTTTGATGTCCTGCAGTCCAGCCATGAGCTTCTTCAACACTTCAAGCTCTTCTGTGATTGGGCATACAGAGCATTCATCAGCCTTAAGCCCAAAGTTACTGCAGTACAATGATGATGCATAAACTCTATGGCTGAAGAACCAAGTGGATATGTGGAGTCCCACCATAGCCATGTCAGTCTGCTCTGTAGTCAATAGCATCTCTTCAGAGGTCCAAACATCAGCTAATGATGTGTGCTGGAGAATGTGTTTTTCCATCAGAGCCACTGAGAATGCTTTACACTGCAGCCAGTTACAACTATCAAGATTCCCGTTAAAGCAAACTGCCATTTTAACTACAATGATCATGTCAGATTTCCCCAGTCTCTCCTAAAGGCCTTGTTCATGACCATCTTATTTATGTATTTATTTATTTATTGACTCTTAGTAATTTATTTAATTTTATTTATTTGAAGGTGTAATGTATCACTCTCATCTTTAATTCTGTATTAACGTGAATTCATTTGCTCACATCTCTGTAATCTTTCTTTTTGTCTTGTCTCACTGATCCTCAAGAAACACACAGTAGCACTTCCTGAACCTATAGCTCTGATAATGACTTTGGTTTAACTTAATTTACTTTGCATTTGAGCATTTCTTCAATCAACAATTCTTCCAGTAGATGTAGCACACATTGGGGACAGCCTTGAGTTTCACTATCTCTCAATTTGCTTTCAAATTTCCTATTTCTGAAGACATTAATGTCATCTTCTAACCATGTTAAAAGTGCCACGTGTTAACATAATAGTAGATGGCCTATGAAATTAATTGCATTTATTTGGAAATGTCAAGATAATAGCCGACAAGAAGTGAACACTTTCTTTTGGCAGAGATTCTATTTTCACTGCTTGTTTTGCGTTCTGTGTGAGGAGGCATAAATGTTGTTGTAAAGTTGTATGAATATGACCTGTTGCTGAGCACTGATGGACCTGATTAGATTCTTTGCACAACCCTGTTAGGATTAGCCTCTTGGATGAGTGAGACGGCTGATTTTGAATCTGTGCTTTGGGGGAGAAAAGTTTTTTTTTTTTATAAATTAAACACCCAAAGCCTTAAAATACTATGTATTGTGACACTATGTTCTGTACAGGTGTACATAAATATACAAGAATGTAAATTGTTGTATACAGTGCTTTTGTGTATTATGTTGTTTTCTACAATATAATACAGATTACCAGTTTTATCACTATCATTTTTGTTTATTCCTCTTCTAGTATTTGTTACAGTATTGACTATTTATTTAAGTAACTTGGTGGAGCTATTTATTTTGTGCTGCAGCGGAGCAAGCCGCCTATCTTTTTGTACTTTTATACAATTTTTAAATCTTATTTACAATTATTATTATTATAATACCATCATGTTTAAATTATTGTTGTAACATCAAGATGCCTCTTCCACACACTGATTGGCCACAATGTGAAATATGTGCCTTGGTGAAATAAATACTGAAGAATGTGCCAATGAATTTGAGTATATCTTTCATACCCATGGTCCACGTGATCTTCAATATAAACTAAAAGATGGAAATTAGGGCAAACACATTCAGATACTACATTACCCAGACGTCTGTGCGCTAGTTTGCACAGTCAATGCATAGAACGGATAAATGTCCTAAGTTAATAACGCTTTATAAAATATTTCTAAATGTCTTGTAGTATATGTGCATACCAAACACGTGTTTTCCCAGTCAAATTTATAACTTCTAAAAACTTTTAAGAGAAGTTTAAAAACGCCAATCTGTTTGTTACAGCTCTTGGCCAATGGTAGTGTCTCATCTATTGTAGCAAACAGCCAATCACTGTCGCTGTTCTTCGAAGGCATCATCGGGTGGAGAACTGCTGTTAGTTTGTGCTGTGTTTATTGTTAAGGTTGTGTGGATTAGCACTGCGGTATCCACCTCATTTTGATAATATCAACAATATAGCTTTAACATGAGTTAAAGATGCGCGGTGAGTACTGCTTCACCTTGTATTCATGCAAATCCTTATCTAACAATTTAGCGATGTAATTTCGCATTAACCAGGGCTAGATTAGCTTTAAATGTAGGCCAGTAACTGGATTTGTTGATACTGTACAAACTGATATTTGTCGTTGTTGTCTCTTGGCTTGCACAGGTGACCGGACACACTTAGATACACTTGTAGAGTACCTTTATGTGTAACTTAGCTGCAGCCTCTGTGTATGTATTGCTACTAAGCACCGCACTGCGGGGACGGGTAGAAACGGACTGATGGCCAGAAGAAAGACAGCAGGGAAGGGGAGAGTAGTTTCATAGAGAGAAGGGAGGGAGAGAAGGGTGGAATTTAAAGGGACCGTTTTTTTTTTTTTTTTACCAGGAGTTAAAAAGTTATAATACTATATTTATTTCCATTTGACTTTATGTCAAACCTGTCCTGAGCTGTCTACTTGGGATCACAGGTGTTTGCTGTCAGAGAAGGAATTTATACACAGAAGAAAACATGAAAGTTGGCAGGATGAAAGAAAAACCATGATTCTACCCCAAAACTGATCCACACCCGTTTCTTAGGAATACCCTCATCTGCCACCAGCTTGTCCTGGTAATGGCTAATTCAGTGGCCTTAGTAGTCCAAGCAGAACTCTTACCAACCCAGTCCACTGCATCGCTTTCTTCTTTCCCATCCCTTCTGGGCTCTGGAGAAGATGTTGAGGGTGATAGGGAGAGAGGTGAGCTGGTGGAGGGAGAAAAGGGGGTAGTAGAGAGTGGAGAAGAGGTGGCCCTGGACACGATGACGGTGTCAGCGTCAGGCCCGGCCCAGCAGCCCCAGCAATCAGATCACCCCTTTCAGTGTAAAGACTGCGGCAAAAGCTTCAGGTGGTCATCCAGGCTGACCCACCACCAGCGGAGCCACAACAATGAGAGACCATACCGCTGCAACGTCTGCCCCAAGGCCTTCAAGGGCTCCTCTGCTCTGCTCTATCACCAACGGTATACCTTGGCAATGCTGTTTACCATGCACATATTGTAACTGTATTACAATAGTTTCCTGAAAGTGTTAATAGTACTTTCTGTATTTTACCTCCTCATCTGTACTGATCTGATCTGGTTTACAGACATGGAGTAATGTGTATCAATACTGCTTAGAATCACTTTCATCAATTACTAAGGTATATATGCGAGCCGTCCCTGGTAGGCTAGCGGTTAAGGCGCAGTGCTCTCACCGCCGAGGCCCAGGTTCAAATCAGGGTTGCGTCAGGAAGGGCATCCGGCGTAAAGCACGTGCCAAATGTCAACATGTGAGTTGTCAGTGTGACGATTCGCTGTGGCAACCCCTAAATGGGAAAAGCCGAAAGTGACTTTCTACTAAGGTATATATGCAGAATGTGGCATCAGCTGGCTGAAGGCTTAAAGTACAGTCGCATTTGCCTTAAACAAAACTTCCCTGCATTCAACATTGAAAAGGGATGTGATGTCACAGTACCAACATGATCACTTAATAAATATTTAGGAGAGTGATCATACAGTAATCTGTAAATAGTGTATGAGAGCCATGCTGCAGTAGTAGTCAGGCAGTGTGATATTTGGCAAAATAAAGTGTTTGTGGATCAACAAAATAACGACTTCTCCATTTCCTAACACAGTACATCAGCATTTTTATTGGCCAGTCTTGCAATTTGTTGATCAAATTTGAACAAAGTGCTTTACCAGAGCCAACTAAGAGATTTCGCTCTAAAAAGAAAAGAAAACACATGCTGGAAATTAAGTGAAATGAATGGAAGAAGAAGTGCGCATTTTCAGGGTAGAAGTGTAATCCGATCTTATACGTAACAGCCAGTATAGTTTCAAAAGAAATTTCTTAAGCAAAAACTGGACCCACCTTACTTGTAATTTGCTCCAGTTGTCCAAACTCAAGTTAACAGGAGAGTTATGGAAGCAGATTATAAAAATCCATAATACATACTTTTAATAAATGCAGCTTGATTTGTACTAGTGTATAAAAGTGCATTGTATTTCTGTATTGATAAATTAAAGTGTCACACCTTTAATGACTGTACATAATTAATTGTGCTGCCCTCCTAAATAGTTACTTTTTTGGCAGGTCTCATTCAGGGGAGAAGCCTTACAAATGTCAGGACTGTGGCAAAGCCTTCAAACGTTCTTCTCTGCTGCAGGTGAGATTCCAGACAAAGACATATCATAAACAAGAATTTTGTCTGTGAAAAGAAAGGTGCTTACAAATCAAAGAGAGATTTCACATCTCTATTTCGGCCTATTCCCAGGTACATCAGAGTGTCCACACTGGAGTGCGTACCTTCCTGTGCCCGTTCTGCTCCCTGACCTTTAAATGGAGTTCTCACTACCAGTATCACCTGCGCCAGCACACTGGAGAGTGTCCATACCCATGTGACACTTGCCCCAAGGCCTTCAAGAATTCAAGCAGCCTGCGGCGACACAAGAATGTCCATCTTGGTCTCAAGCCTTACACTTGCACAGTGTGTAACAAATCCTTCACTCAGTCTACCAACCTGAGGCAGCACATGAGGATACATACAGGTGAGAGGCCCTACATTTGTGGTGAGTGTGGACGCTGCTTCACGCATTCATCAAACCTAGCCCGATAGTGGAGGTGGTTGTACGGACAGAGGAAGTTGCATCATCCATGTTGACGGACATGGTGGGATTTGTGAGCCAGGAAGGAACTGGTGGAGTGGGGGTGGGGATGGAAGAAGTGTTCCTGTCTGCAAATTCTTCTGGCCAGAATCCAGGCCTTCTCCCCCAGCTCACTCTCACCCCCTCTGGGGACGACGTGTGTACATCTAGAGCCATTGGGACAGAGGTTCACCTGAGCACAGACACCGGGTCCAGCGTGCTGCTGTACACCTGCGGGAGCTGCAGCCACACCTTTGGTACACGAACAGATCTGGAGGAGCACCAGGCCATCCACATGGCTCCAGAGGAGCCTGGGACCAGTAGAGACCAGCATGGGGCAGGGATGGAGGTTGGGGATGGGCTGGTGGGAGCTGGACACCTGCTGGCTGATTTTGAGGAGGTGGTGGAGACTACCACAGTGGCTGAAAATGGTCAGACAACAGAGGTGCTTCTTGGACTGACGGAGGGAGGAGATGGTAGCAATGCAGTAAGTGAATTACAGTATCTAGACAAGGATTCTAGGCCATGGCGAGTTTTATGTAGCCTGGTCAGATCTGTGAATCACCACACGCATCTCAGATATTTTCACTTGGTTCAAAAAGGTCTGTTAGTGTGTCTGTTGATGGCTATTTTAGAACAACAGTTGACCAATCAGAGGTTAATAAGTGAGATTGGCAGTGGCAAATTCATTTTTCTACATAGTTTGCTTATTACCTAGATACATTCCTAAAAAAACAAACAGAAAATGTATATGTACTGTTTGTGATGTGTGGTGGAATAGGACTTTACTATTCAAGATTAATACAAACACTCATGGTCCATATAATCAAATTTTAATTCATCTAAAAATTTCCACCCTACAGAGTCAACGAGTTTAATCTGAAGATATGTGTTTTTGATATGTACTATTTCCTTTGATTGGTCCTCAGAATGTGGCCACCACCCAGGCCCAGTTTGATCTGTTGCAGAGCTTCACTGAGGTGACTCAGAGCTCTGAGACCGTCCAGCCAGAGGCCAGAACCACATGGGCAGGGCTGTCATGTGGCTACTGCAATAAGACCTTCAAGACCAGTGGAGGCCTCAATAGACATGTGTCACTGGTGGGAATAACTGTTAATAACTGCTCTACTACTAACACTGCTATACAGATTATAGCACTTTATTGACTACCAAGACTAAAATTCAGCATAATGATTTATCCATCTTTCTCTCCTGTATTCCCCTTTTGTTTGTCCAGATGCACTCTCTTTCATCACAGTCCCGCTCCCAGTTCAGCTGCTCTGCCTGCGACCGCTCCTTCCCCCTTCTCTCCTCACTCCTCACCCACCAACACTCCCACACCCCTGAGCAGCGTCTCCTGGCTGAAGCAGAGGCTGAGATAGTGTGTCCTCCATCCCTCTCCCTGACTCTCCCCCTGCCCTCGTCTCCCAGCCAGGCAGACAAGCAGCAGGAAGGCCAGAGAGAGATCCGTGTCGACATCATTACCGTTGGTGAAGAGCAAGAGGAACAACCGGCCAAACCAACCAAAGGCCCAAAAAAGCCAGGAGTCAGCAAGAGCACTCCAGCTGGAGGTGAAGACATTTTCACAGCAGGACAAACACAAAACTGCATTTTGATATGGAGACAGTGGCCATAGGAAGTATGAAATGCTTTGTTATATCCTTTCCACATGGATTGGTAACTCCTTACATTCAAGAATAGCCATACTCCATTCACTATCCAATTGGGTCCTAATACATTTAGCGCAATCAGAATGTCAGTGAAGTCAAAAGTAAATCAAGGGGTTGTTTTTTAATGTGAAAATCAATATAATGATTGCTAAAAAAAAACATGTTTTTGTTGTTAGTGTGTCAAAAATGTTACAAATGTGACACTGTTGCATATACTTTCTTACAGAGAGACCGTACTGCTGTTCAGAATGCGGAAAAGCCTTCAAAGGTTCATCAGGGCTGAAGTACCACATGCGGGATCACACTGGGGAAAGGCCCTACCGCTGCACTGAATGTGGAAAGAGCTTCAAAAGGTCATCGCTGCTTTCAATCCATCAGAGGGTAAGGCTCATTCTTCTGTTGCAATAAATTTATACATGCTGGCTGCTGTTCTTCAGCTGCATTAAATCATATCAGAAGAACAGATGAGCTGTACTTATTACAACACATATCCAAAATCATTTGTATTAACAAATGCAAAAGCAACCATACCACCAACTAAGTGCAGTAGATTTTTGTTATATTAGAACACTTGTTAGGGCGAAGTAATGTCTTCTTTTTCTGTTTACACCTTACCCAGGTGCACACAGGTGTACGGGCTTTCCAGTGCCCTCAATGCCCTCTCACTTTTAAATGGAGCTCTCACTACCAGTACCATTTGCGGCAGCATACAGGTGAGAGGCCATATGTGTGTAAGGAGTGTGGCAAGTCCTTCAAGAACACCAGCTGTCTACGTAGACACAGTCAGATGCACTCTGGACTTCGGCCTCATACCTGCTCCATCTGCTACAAGTCTTTCTCTCAGACGTCAAACCTCAAACAGGTCAGTGTTGCCTGTCAAGATTCAGCTGTGAACTCATGTAGATTCTTAGCCATTTATAATGTATAGATGTCTCATCTTACAAACAGTTCTCTCTATTTCTCATTCCCCTTCTCTTGTGCAGCATGAACGCACCCATTCTGGTGAGAGACCTTTTCAGTGCATACACTGCAATAAAAGCTTTACACACTCCTCCAACCTTCAGCTCCATCTTCGCACACACTCCTCACGCAAGGACTTCAAGTGCCCATACTGCTCTAAGGAGTTTGTCATGCACTCCTATTTGCAGAGGCACATCCGTACCCATGGCAGTGGTATTCCCCTACCCTGCCTTGGGACTGAAGGTAAAGATGGAGTTGCTGTGAAAGCCAGTGTTGGAGGCATAACAACCACCACAACCTTGCTTAACCCCATCACCCTGGAAGCCTCAGGAAACAATGGCAGCCTGATTGTATCCCAGCCAGCACTTAATATCCCCCCCAATACCTCCCAGAACTACTTTATGATTCAGACAGCCAGCGGCCTGCAGCTCATTCCTCTGTCATCCCCTACACCCACCCCTCCACCACCTCCACCACCACCTCTGCCTCTGTCCCAGTCCCAAATCTTCCTTCTCCTGCAGTGCCCATCTGACAATGGCAGCCAGTCCAGCTTGATTCTCCTCCCAACAACAAACAAGACTCCACCAGCTCCGGAGCCTCCAACTCTGCCTGTGCTTCAGACTATCCAAGCACTTCAGTCTGTCCTAAACCAAACACAGACTCAGATACCCCAGTTTTCGACCATATCACAGCAACAACAGCAGACCAGGATCATAATCACCACCAACAACAACAACAACGTGAACACTCCTGTGGCCACACGAACACACACCCTCTCTGCCAACTCCCTACTGAGTAAGCCCATATTAGGGAAAAGCACACGGACAGCACGGGGCAGACGGGGACGCAAACCAAAAGTTACTCTTCAGAAGTCTGAAACAGCTCCATTCAGTCAGACTGCAGGTGAAGCTGTGTCAGTAACAGACTGTAATGTGACTCACACTGTCTCACACACTCTTACTGCTGCTAACACCACCACAGAATCATCACCATCATTTCTTTCTCACTGTCCCCTGTCAGCATCTTGTACTACTGTCCCAGCTCTTTCATTTTCCAGCACTGCAGCCCCCACAGTGGACACCTCAGGACCTCCATCAACTGTTGGAGTTACACCAGCCACCACAGCAACACTCGTTTCTACCCCTGTCCCTGCAGGAGAAGCTATGACAAGGAAACAGTTTGTATTATGTTTTGATGATGAAGGACAGGCCAAGGAGGGGATGAATATCAAGGCGGGTGGGGAGTCGTATGTGCTTCAGTTTGAAGGGGAAGCATCAGCAGAGACAGTCAGTGGAAGAATGGATAGAGACAGAAAGTCAGTGATGCTTCAGTTAAAGACAGATGGGCAAGATGAAGGAGAAAAAGAGGGAGATAAGAGAGGGATGATGTCACTTTTACATAACTGGGTTGGAGAAAAGCAGGGTGAGAAACAGGCAGGAGAGGAGAGCAGTCAGGGACAGTCGTACGTCCTACACTTCCACCCTGAGGCACAAGACAGTGGTCCATCCAGTGCTGCCTTCAGCCAAGGGCAAGATAACAACCTACAGCTTTCCTGTACATCAGCCCAAGGTTTGGTGCCCCTTGATGAGCAGGAGGTGGTGTTTGAACTGGAGGGTGAGAGCAAGATGGAGCAGGAAACTGATGAGGGTATGCAAATGATAGCCTTGATAGAAGGTGAAGCGGGAATGATTGGAGAAGAAGGGGCAGATTGCAGTGCTGCAAGTGGTGGGGTTACTGAGGGTGGGGGGGATATGGAAAGTTTATTTCAGCTGGAAAGTGGAGAGGAAATTGTCATCATTGAGGTCAGCACCAGTAGCTTAAGAGAAGGCAGAATGGAGAGAGGAGGAGATGGGGAGGTGTCACCAAGCAGTGAGGTAAAATATGAGGGTTTAACTGCACAGGTGAATGAAAAGTCTGTAAAGGAACTAAGCTCTACAGCCAGCACATTGGTACAGACAACTGAAGACGCAATACGAAAAGGACCTATATCTAACTCTGAAGAGATGCACTTCTCTAACTAAAAGCTGTGTGCATGTTACAGAAGAAAACTGTGTTTGGGCGATGCCTTGCTATTTGTGAGCTCAGTGTGTTAGCACTTTAGTCAGTTTGAGTTCTCCTGGAACTGAGAGAGAACATGCAGTTAGATGTGTACTGTGTTGTAATGCCATGGTGCCACATACTAGAAATGTTATACATTCATATAGGCTGTAAATGGACCTCACTATATACTAGTTTAAGATACTGTCATTGGCAGTTCTTTTAATAAGTACATTTGTGAATAAATGTTGTACATAGCCTACTTTCTTCACAATGTTAATATAAACAGTAGGTAATTATTAATAAACATGTTAATACCTAATATTTTGGTTTTTTGCTTCATTTTTCTTAATGTACTTGAAGTTTTTTTATTTTTAAAGACAAAGTATAAATAAATTCGGAGCGCTGCTTACGACGTTACGTTACCATTGACGTAGCCTTGTATGTTTGCGCATTGTACGTACGCGAATGGCGTAGATCAACATGAAAACGTTTAATGGGAACGTAAAACAGAGTAGGTTTATATTCACCATCGCCTCTTTTTACGCAAGAAACGACTCTTGTCAGTGAAAAGTGTCAGACCCGCACGGAATTTCCAACAAACAGAAATACTAAAACTGTGCGTTTCCCAACGTTCATCTTAATTTGAGTTGCGTTGTGCAGAAGGTAAGAGGAACCGGAGAGGAACAGGAGTGTAGCATTACATGTGTCAGGAGACCGCAGCACTTCATTATATCCATATAAGGATTTAAACGGTATCCTCACATTCCACTGTACTTTTGATGATCACTCTTAAACGTGAAGATGGTGTGCGTTATAAAGGCGCAGAATGATGGTGAAGCATTCTTCAAATCCACAATCCCCATCTGCCTGCTTGGAGCCAGCGTGGGTGTGATGTTAGGCTACTGTAGGCGAAATCTACTGCACTGCAAATTATAGGCTGTGGACTCGTTTTAACTTCGACTTGCTTGTCAGGGTACAGATAACACAATAAGACATTAACCTATTTGTCAGTCTATAAGAGTATCAGTTATTTGCATGGTTTAGCGTTAAAAATCCCACAGTTGTATTTCACTGTCACCTGTTAGACCATTAAAAAACTGTTGTCCATGTTCTGTTCTTGAAATGTGTTGTTGCAGAGTCCCTGTGCACGCAGTGTTGGAGTTGGACACATTGTGTTGGTGCAGCAAGCCCACTGTTTGTGCATAACGCCCAAACATGGTGAGGCTGGAGCTGGATCAGGTGGTGATCAGGAGGATGAAGGAGGACGACATAGAGATGGTCAAAGCTCTCATCAAGGTTCGTATGATATATTCAGAAAAAGGCTGCTTTAATATAGGTTGATGTGTAAACCTGCCTCTGTCCTTGTGAGGTCTGTGCTGATGTTATTTTTAACTTTTTTTTTTTTTTTTTTAATCTATCCAGGAGGGCTGCGAGGGCACAGAAAACCGTCTCATTCTCCACATCCTCACTCGTCCACTCTGCCTTTTCATCCTGGCTGTTTTCTCCTCAATCCTGCGCTGCCTTGTCCACTCCTTTATCCTGGCTCTTGCTATTCCTGTCTTCCTACTAATTGTCTTTCTCAAGATCACCATGCCGCGATCCACAGGGGTTCTGGGCAGCAGCCGCCCCTACTGGGACTATGTGGGCAGCAGCTACCGTGGGACACAGGATGAGACACTGTACAATCCATATAGTAGGATTAGTGGAAAGACACCCCTGACAAAAAAGGTTAGTATAGTGGTTTGCTTGAAATTCTTAGTTTTTTGGTAGGTAGTTTTCACTTCAGGTTTTTCACTTGTGACAAAACATTGCAGTAATATAATCTTTTTTCCTTCAGCCAAGGCGCAGAATTGGGTCCAATGACGGGGACAAGGACGTGTCACAAGAGAAGGTCACCCCAGAGAGGGAACAGGCAGCAGGGCAGGTGTGGGTGGCAGACTGTGAGGGAGAGATCCTGGGTTGCATCTTCCGGGAGAGTGAGACACGAGCAGGCATCAGGAGAATCTGCAGGCTGGTGACAGGCTGCTGGTACCGCAGGGAGGGCCTGGGCCGGCAGTTGGTCCAGAGTCTGGAGCAGAGAGAGAGGGAAACTGGGGCACGCAGAGTGTATGCACATGTCCCCTACCCCTCCAAGGTGGGGGAGGCCTTCTTCAGGAAACTGGGCTATCAGCAGTTGGGGGAGGGGGCCGATGAAGACAACGATGAGGAGATGAAGCTAGAGACTCCAGAGAGAGGCTTTCTGGGACACCCCCTTACTAAGGTGTTTTACAGAGACCTGTGATTGGGTGCTGATGTACTCAGGGAGTGAAAAAGGGGCAATGAGCCCAGGTAAAGAATATTAAGAGATAAATAAGAGCAACCTGTGGATCTCTTCTGAAGGTGATAGTGTCATTACTGCCACATGTTGGCACATGTTTGTTAATAATTTATTGGATATTTGTGTTATTTATGTCAGTATTTATTTACTGTATGTGTTGCTGCTCTGTTTCTTGAAGTATTTTCATCATTTTAAGTACCATCTCTCAATTGCAAAGTAAATATTTGTTTTTTATTTATTAATTCAAAAATGATGAGGCCTCGGGCATGTCATTTTCTGGTCATTTGTAATTAAGCAAAATATTTATGTAAAATGTGAACAGAGAAGCAGTTAAACTGTACATTTGTGGCAATTTCAACACGGTAAATGTGTGTGTGAATGCATGCACTTGTCTGTGTAGAAACCATCCAGATGTGTAGGAGGATGTACAGTTACTGTATAGGAAGTAAGTGTGGTTTATGTGAATCTGCAGAATTTGTCTTTTATCTTTCTGCTCTCCTTAGCAGCTGCTGCTCAACTTCATGTACAGTATGTGAGTCCATGAGTCTGCAAAAACACACTCTCTCCCATTTTACTTGTGTTTTTTGTCTTTCATTTTGGTTTTGCTTGGTTTATTTTACAACATGACAGAGGAACATCACTAACTGTGAATTCCAAATTGTACATTAGTGTTGATAATAGTAGCATGTCATTAACTAAATGTTTAATGCTGAAATAACTGGCCAAAATTAAACAGCCACAATTCAATTGTATGTATTGTTATTTTTGGTAAATTACAATTAAAGCATCCGTTAACTGCTACCCTCAAGCATGACAAAATCACACCTATATAAATCCACTTCAGTACTAGCATTTCAAAAGTCACCTGCATTTCTGATGTTATCACAGCATGTTAAATATATGCAGAGATATTCTGACTCAAGGATGTGTGTGGTTTGCAGGTGAATGGCAGTTTATGTGACTAAGCGGGGAAATGCACACAGCCCTAGTCTGAGGCTAACCTTAATATGGTTAGCAGCCCTCACGCTTGCATTGTGAATCTACCTTACTGCTAACCTCAGACAATGTCAGTATAGCATCAGTGCGCCACAGATAAACACCACAGAATGTTTGTACAATGGTGTGACAAAGAAGAATACCTCACCTGATGTGAACACAGACAGAAACTTATTTTAAACTGCAGACTCTTGATCATGAAAGATGTGGAAAATCAGTCCTTTAATTAACTTTGATGAAATAATTGAGCAGTTAAACAATAAAGTTGATACATGCAGGGGTACTCTAAGTGTGTGTTGAGGCCAATTGCCCTTGTAAAAGCTGTATTTTTACTCATGACACTTATAGGGCATCATCAGGTTGTTTACCCATGACCGTCAAAGAGCAGACACCTGTTAGCTGGGCCTCTACCCGGCCGATCTGTAGCTATTATTGTTGTCAGGAAACAGATGTGAGCTCACACACTGGAAAAAAGTCTGTTTGTGACTGTGGTCATGTGTGTCTGCACGGTATTTGCTGTGTGCGAGTGTGTGCTTGTGCGCATGTACAGGGTGTGGGCGGGTGGGTTTCGGAAAGTATGACTTGGCATTTCCTACACCCAGTTTCTGGCCCTGTCTATGGATTAAATGCACAGTAGTGTCTGGCCATACTGTACTACTTCACCACACACACATATACGATGCATGAGAGGGATGGCAGCACACATGAGCATTCATGCGTGACTGTGAGATGACCTTGGTCAGCTGTGGTCAAACCCAGAGAGTTGGGTGGGAAGTGGTTACATATAGTTTGGCATTTGTTCAGTGTCTTAAAGTCGAGAAAACACACATGCACAGAAGATCAAATGTGCAGAGACATTAGGCTTAGTGCACTGTCCAAGTGATGCAATATGATCTGAGGTTGCTCACAGCATGCAGCCACACATAAACATGAATCACTCAAAATTTTTGAGCACCACACAATCATAAGATAAATTACATAAATTTGTTCCAGTTGATGTGTAATTTATAGACTGTGCTAAGACATGCAGATACAGGTGCCTAGCACACACAGCACACATATACACAGGCGCATGCATGCACAGATGAGCTCCAAAAACAGCCACCCTAGGAAACGGTAAATTCCCCAAACCACAGAGTGCATGAGAGGGTGAGGGGAGTCATGGGAAAGCAGGATGCCTGCATGCAGTGCCACTGAGTGAGCAGACTAGACCAGAGCTAAAACAGACACAGCAAAGAAAAGACAAGAGCAAAATAATACACATCCTGATTTGGCAAGGACGGATGACAGCATCTAATGGTGCAACGACTTATGAGTGAGATTTATCCACACACTGTGGTTCGTCAGCTGGCCAGCCAGTTTAGCAAACACGTAGGGTGAGGGAGGTCGTTAATAGGTCTGCTCACAGCCTGACACAGTTTGGGGAAATCCAGGTTTGAGGACAAAGTAGGTGTCAGGGCCTCCAAGGTCTGGGAACGCTTATGGCTCCACCAAATTTTGGGGCCCAGAGGAGGTGGGGGACTAGGTGGAAAGGCTGAACAGCAGGATGGTTGGGTATGATCCTTCTGTGGATCAAGGTGAGAAGATATCTGGAAGTTTTTAACTTAGTAGTCTGGGAAAACCGGTGTGGAGCAGCTAGAGACTGGATGACTCTTAAGTGTTTGGAAAGTTCCAGCCAACTGGCCCAGTTTACTGACGTCTGTGAAAAACTCCAGAGGTTACAAAATTGCGTCAAACCATCACATCATGTCTGCTCACTCAGATTATTTTGTAAAATCTGTGTTGTGTAATCTGCCTTCCCACTGAAATTCTTTTATTTACTTATACCAAAATAATGACTTTAATCATTATTGGAACTAATGCTACATTTTTTTCACAAAATATAAAAAAAAGATGATATTGAAAAGAACAAACATTTTGCTAATGAGTAATACGTCTCTAGCTTTAATTGTTGTGCAGCGACACAATAATCCATCTCTTTTGTATCACACCCCCTAAACTTTGAAAAATCTTTGTCCAACCAGAAGCTGCCTCTGTTGTATGCAGGATGTTTATGTTTAGAGGTATATGCTCTCACTTCCCTCCCTTTAACCCCCATCACACACTCACATGCACACACATACACACACTTTCACTCTTTCTCATTTACCTTCATTTATTACCCACGCCCGCTGAGTGACAAAGCAAAGCGCGTCTTTCGAAATGATTACAAAGCTAGACAGGTGAGCAAAATGGATACATTCTCTTTATATGTTGTATATGTATTTCTATTAATACATAATACAGATTGCACATACATATGCTATTAGATAGAAATAAATCAGGTGGCTTTTATAAATACTTTTTGAATTCACCCATTCTTCTCATTCTTTGTTACTAATATAAGCTATTCTTTAATAAAAATCGGTTACAGTAATTATGCCACTGTACTCCTGAGTACTATGAATGGAGGTTTCAGTATTAATGAGTGATGAACAACTGTCCTGGTTCTGCTAAAAGTTATGAAACTGAGAATGAGAGAAAGCAATGAATGTTAGCTGTCTTCTGACTGTCCGTCACTCACATTTGGTTAACCACAGGTTTTACATGTGTTTATTGTGCTAACTTGTTGAATTTAAACTAATGTGTGAGTTATCTGTATAGTACCTTATTAGGGTTACTGTTTTTTAATGAGTCCCTTAATAGAATTTGTCTCAGACTTTGCTGCCATACTTTCTGTCTTTGCTAAATACGGCTGAAATGATCTCTCACTAAGATGTTGGCTTACAAAACAAGACTTTGAGAGTGAAATTATTACTGGTGATATGCTAACTGCTAGTGGAAACTTGAAGTTTTTCTAGATGTATTTAATCTTTAAAAAATCTTTAAATGTTCTTTATGTTAGCTGAACTGTGCCCACTGTAGTGTGGTTTTCTGTTCTTCCTGCACCACATAATAAGCTAATATAAAAGAGCAACATTTCTTCTTTTGTTTCAGTGTGCTTTTGCCGCGAAAAAAGTTCATCTACCATTACAAGAACGTCCGCTGGGCAAGAGGCAGGCATGAGACATACCTCTGCTTTGTAGTGAAGAGGCGGGTGGGTCCAGACTCCTTGACCTTTGATTTTGGACACCTCCGTAATCGCAATGGCTGCCATGTAGAGGTAAGTAATGTGAGTGAAGATGGCAGAGCAGATTAGGAGGACCTGTTGAGGGGAAAGGCAGGGAGTATAGCATGATTATATCCCTCTTATTTTCTCCTTTCTCCTGTTTGTCTATAGATGCTGTTCCTGCGCTACCTGGGAGCCTTGTGCCCTGGTCTATGGGGGTACGGCATTACTGGAGAAAGGCGGCTCAGTTACTCAATTACTTGGTTCTGCTCCTGGTCTCCCTGTGCCAACTGCTCCATTAGACTGGCACAGTTCCTCAGCCAGATGCCCAACCTTCGCCTTAGGATCTTCGTCTCTCGCCTTTACTTCTGTGACATGGAGGATAGCCGTGAGAGAGATGGCCTGAGGATGCTGAAAAATGCTGGAGTGCAGATCACAGTCATGAGTTACAAAGGTGAAGGCATCAGTTTATATATATATATGTGGTAAAAATATAAAAAGGGACAGACGCATATATGACTCTAAAGCAGGGGTGGGCAATTCAGGTCTTACCCACTGTGGATTACCTGGACCAGGTGTGTTGAGTGAGCAAAGACAAAGTGAATTGGTATTGTCCAGCTTATGACTGACTGAACACCCCCGATTTAGGTAATCAGCAGTGGGTAGTGCAGGGATAGTTGGAGAACAAGCAGGGCAGCAGCCCTTAAGGACTGGAACTGCCCACCCCAGTTCTAGGGCCAGAATGACTGGATGAGTAATCAAGCCAAATTCCACCTAAAAAACATTACCCTTCCTTATCATGATACTGCGCTGGGTGTCAACAATAATGATGAATTGCTCCTTTCGCTTCAGACTTCTTCTATTGCTGGCAGACCTTTGTGGCTCGTAAGCAGAGCAATTTCAAAGCCTGGGATGAGCTGCACCAAAACTCTGTTCGCCTTGCCAGAAAACTCCATCGCATCCTCCAGGTAGAAGATTTAACCCACTACATAATCTTCTTCAACCAACAGGATGTTTAAAATTCTAATAATGATGTTTTATTTCTTTCTTAGCCCTGTGAAACAGAAGATTTAAGAGATGCCTTCAAGCTACTTGGACTGTGAAACATACCTGTGACCTCATCTGGTGGTGCTATTAAGTCTATCATTAATTCTGTAAAGAAAATGACATGTTGGTGTGGGTCCATCACTACAACTACTAAACTGAGAACGAGAAAACCTGGTGGCAAAAAAATGACAAAAAATAGCTTTCAATTGTGGCAAGGCTCGTAACATTAGGTAGCTGCTGCTTGCTTATTCTGTAGCAATAATGTGAAATAAAATAATGTACAATGAGATATTGTGTCATGTTATTGACATTATAGATTTGTGAGTACTTAGCCTAGCTAATACTGCCTTTTAAAAAGTTATTTTACAACTGCTTAAAATACTACTGTTCCAACTGTATTTGCAGAATCCCAAAAGATTCCTCTAACCAGCTGAATGAAAAAAATGTTCCATCAAATATGTTGTGACTGTAGGCTGATATGTTTCAGCCATAGGTTTGCCATTTTTGTTTGGATAAATAGTCTTGACAGTTAAAATCTTTTATCTTCTTTCATTCAGCAGACTTTTTGTATCCACATAGTAAGAAATGTTTGTTGCTTCTGAAAGTACTTTTTGCAACATGTGTTTTTAAACCACTGTCTGCATTTGTCAAACATAGCTAGAGGGGCACAAACTTGGACTAGCAAAAAGTTCACACCTCAAACCCCAGTTTGCTGTTTGGAATTTAGGTTTTCTGTCTTTGAAAAATACAGAATTAGTCAAGTAATGTTACCTGGGCCAAAAGTAGTCAAGTGATGTTACCTGAGAGTAATTTTCTTTGACATGACACAGTCTCAGTAGTACTTCCCATGAGTAAACAGACCTCGGTGGAATGTCCCTTTAGGCATCACTGACCCTGCAGCAGTGCACCAGGGTCGCCAGTTAGTGTGTGCGCAAATACACAGTCTATTACGGTCGCGTATCCGTTTGTCGCCGCACGGACACACCGCTCACCGTCACTACCACCGGCGTACACCGAGAGAGTAAAAATCAAGATGGCGACTGAGGGTCAGTCCGAGTACGAGTCGGTCCTCTGTATCAAACCTGAAGTCAGCGTTTACCGAATCCCACCAAGAGCATCCAACCGGGCTATCAGGTGAGTGAGGCGGCGGCCTGACACTGGAGCTTTATAACCCAGCATCCGTGCGAGTTGGGGCCGTTAGGAGCCATTGCCTTCACGACCTACCTAACGAGCTCATCCCCTGATCACGCAGCCTCACGTAACGACGGTCGTCGTTTGTATGCTTGGTGTTTTTGCTGTGTATTTACAATGTCAATGTGAAAAACACCAAACTACAGGTTTGTACCTGAAGCACATGACTGGGTTTGTTGCATTCATGTCAGTGGCTGTGTTATGTCACCTAATGGCACATCAGAGATAAAATGATGCTTAGACTGCTTAAAAGTCAGTGACTTTATAGGTCCAGCCAGTTGTGTTTTGCTCTGAAGCTTCTCATTGTACTTTTCTGACCTGTAAGTCGCAGCAGAACAGCAGCTGGTGCTGTAAAGAAGTCAGTGTCTTGCTCAAGAACACTTCATCGGGGTTGATGCCGCTTTAATACCCAAGGGTAGGTGCTCCAAGACAACATTGTTCTGGCAAACCCCTTACCCTTGTGCTAATAAGTGGCCATGCTGGAGGTCTGTTAAAAACACTGGCATTGAATTGTTTACCTCATTTTTCATTGGCTGGTCTTTTGGCCTTACCTGCTGCAGCTGTATCTGAGTGGACACTACTCCAACCAAAGGGCAGCACACAGCAGGCCTAGTCCCATGAGAGAAGTGATTGGTTAACCTCTGACCATATGTGTAGTGAGTAAGGTCGATAAGTGAGTGTCCAGCTAATTCCCTGGTCAAGTTTCATTCACATAGAAAATGGCTGATGTAGAGTTTCAGTGTTCAAGAATAAAGCACAGTAACACAAAAACCCCACAATTCCTTCCCTGTCGCCTGTTTTTCTTGTATACTGTTCACCTTCATGTCAGCATCAGTTTCAGTAAACCTCCAGTTTACCTCCGTCACACTGTCTCACCGACCGCCTGTGTGTGTGTGTCCCAGGGCTGCCGACTGGAAGCTGGATGCTCCTGACTGGACGGGACGCATGCGTGTGACTTCCCGGGGTAAAGTGGCCTACGTGAAACTGGAAGACAGAATCTCTGGTGAGAGAGAAGCAGACGAGACAGCGCCATTGTTTACTGGCACCGCCACTGTTCTAAATCATTTCACTGTGTAGTCTCCTGACACCATCCCCCTCTCTGTTACTCATCTCTTCCAAGGTGACCCAGCCCACGTCCAAGCATGTGGTTTGTGTTGAAGCAAATGGGCTGATAATCTCTTTCTCTCTCTACTGAAGCATTTTATGGACTTAGCATGTTTGCTGTCTTCAGATTATAACTTATAATTGCTCAGTCTTTTATGTAAACTGAATGCCAGAAGTTAGAATGAACTTACAGACTGTGTTCTGCTCAGATCAGTTCTTAGTTGAGATTTGGTCTAGTGAATATAAAATTCAAATTTCTGAATGTTTCTTCATGAAATTGCCACTGGGCCATTTTCCATGTACAGTGGGGCAAATAAGTATTTGATACACTGCCGATTTTTCAAGTTTTCCCACTTACAAAGAATGGACAGATTTGTAATTTTCATTGTAGGTACACCTCAACTGTGAGAGACAGAATCTACAAAAACTTTCAGAAAATCACATTGTTAGATTTTTAAATAATTTATTTCCGTTTTATTGCATGAAATAAGTATTTGATACAATAGAAAAATAGAACTTAATGTTTGGTACCAAAACCTTTGTTTACAATTACAGAGGTCAGACATTTCCTGTAGTTCTTGACCAGGTTTGCACACACTGCAGCAGGGATTTTGGCCCACTCCTCTACACAGGTCTTCTCCAGATCTTTCAGGTTTTGGGGCTGTCGCTGGGCAACACAGAGTTTCAGCTCCCTCCATAGATTTTCTATTGGGTTCAGGTCTGGAGACTGGCTAGGCCTCTCCAGGACCTTGAAATGCTTCTTACAGAGCCACTCCTTAGTTGCCCTGGCTGTGTGTTTGGGGTCATTGTCATGCTGGAA